GCCGTCTAGATTCGTTGAATATGTTATTTACCCTTTTTCTTTTAGTATTGGAGGATATATTATATATATATATATATATATATATATATATATATATATATATATATATGTACCTTTAACTTTAACATTGCATATGAAGAAAGCTACTAGTTGTATATTAAGGTAAAAACTATACATATTTATATATAATAATAATAATGATGATAATACCACTTTAGAAAATTTGTAATATTCTCTATTATTCTCTAGAATATCTTGTAATTAATCTCATTTATTCCTTGATTTAATTTCCTTGTATAAACATGTAAACTTGTATTATAAATAGTGAAAATAGCTCCTCATTTTGATTAAGGAAACCAAAAATATTTACTCTCATGGTATTAGCCAGTATCACCGTAAATCCTCTCCTCCTCCCCCTTTAGCCGCACCTTGTTGGCTAAACTTACACAAGATATAAACAAAGTGAACAATACTTATGCATGTATACAGATCGTAGAGGATGTTGCTAAGTTATTAAATGACACCATGCTTTTTCAAGATATTTTTCTTCATTCATGGGAGGGAAAAACCCGGTAACTTTGGGTACAAAAAACCCACCACAAATGCCCAGTACTTATACACAAACATAAGAAACGAAACTGCTATGGAAACTGCTATGTAACTGCTCCTATTTTTACGTATGCATGTACCAACATGGTATCATGTTTACGTTAAAACTTAACCAACCCCACACACACACAACATTGACTGAAAATAGAACAAAACTAAATACACAAAAACAAATAAGACAAGTTTAACTTCCACATTTCCCCCCTTAAACTTTGTCTTATCCTCTTATGACCTTCAATCCAATTTTGTCACGTACCTCGATGAAATTTTGTCTTCCCAGAGGTTTCGTTAGGATGTCTGCCAGCTGCTCACTCGTCCCAATATGCTCAAGCTCAATCATCTTGTTTTTGACACACTCTCTTATGAAATGGAATCTTGTATCAATATGTTTACTCCTTTCATGAAAGACAGGATTGTTTGCCAAGGCTATTGCGGATTTATTATCAACTTTTAGCATTGGCTTCATCTGACCATGATCTTTCAAACTTTCCAACAGTCTCATTAACCAAATACCTTGACAGGTGCCTCCTGTAGCTGCAATATACTCTGCTTCACAAGATGATAGAGCCACAATCTTTTGCTTTTGTGAAACCCAGGTTATTGGACTCTTTCCTAGAAAGTAAATGATACCTGTTGTGCTTCTTCTGTCATCAGTATCTCCAGCAAGGTCACTATCACTATAGCCAATCAACACTTCATCACATTCTCCTTTCTTATAAACACACCCCATCCCAAGAGTCCCTTTAATGTATCTAAGAATCTGTTTCACACCACACATGTGAGTGGTATTTGGTGTCTCCATGTATCTACTGATGACTCCAACAGAATAGGCCAGATCAGGACGTGTGTTTACAAGATATCTAAGGCTCCCCACTATGCTTCGATAAAAAGTAGAATCAACTGGTGGCTCATCTTCACCTTTTGTCAGTTTGCACCTAGGTTCCATTGGTAATGAACTAGAGTTACAGTCTATCATTCCAACCTTCTCCAACACTTTCTTGGCGTAGCCTGATTGACACAAAGTAATAGCGTTCTCCCCTTGCTTTACTTCAATTCCCAGATAATGACTTAATAGCCCCAAATCACTCATCTCAAATTGATGCTTCATATCACATTTGAAACGTGTGATAGATTCTGCATTGGATCCTGTGATGATGAGATCATCAACATACACTCCCACAACTAGAATGCTTGCCTCTATCTTCTTGATGTACATAGCATGCTCATATAAGCATTTCTTAAACTTCATTGAAATCAAGCATTTATCTAGTTTCTCGTTCCATGCCCTTGGTGCCTGCTTTAATCCATAAAGTGCTTTATGCAACCTCAAAACTTTCTTTGGATTATTTTGATCAACAAAACCTTCTGGCTGTTGAACATATACTTCTTCTTTCAGCTCCCCATTTAAGAAAGCTGTTTTTACATCCATATGATGTAAAAACCAACCTTTTATGGCCGAATAAGCAATCAGTGTTCTGACTGTCTCCAGTCTAGCTACAGGAGCAAACACTTCCTTGTAGTCAATGCCATACTTTTGTACATACCCTTTTGCAACTAATCTGGCCCTGTGTTTGATAAGTTTCCCTTCTGGATCCTTCTTCAGCTTAAAAACCCATTTCAAACCTATGGCTTTATGGCCTCTTGGCAGATCTGTCAATTCCCAGGTTTGGTTTCTTACTATGGAACTGATTTCCTGTGTCATTGCCTCCTTCCAATTCAGGTTCTGTGAGGCTTCTTCATAATTCATTGGTTCATCAATGGATAGGAAACACAGACCTGCTTCTTCTTGTATCTCTCTACCGGCATCATAAATTTCTTGCAAAGATCTATACTTGTGATGTTCATCACTTGAACTTGAAGAAGGTGAATCATGAATAGAACTCTGAGATGATTCTTCTCCTCCTCCATTGACAATAACATCTTTTTCCCCACTCATATGTACTATGAAAGTAGTTCCATCAGTATCTTCCCTCTCTGTTTGTCTGTCCTCCCAGGTCCAACATTTCCCCTCCTCAAAAATGACATCTCTGCTTACAACAATCTTTTCTTTTGTTGGATCAAACAGTCTGTATGCTTTTGTGCCCTCCTCATAGCCAAGCAGTATGGTTTGTGTACTCCTGTCTTCAAGTTTGTTTAGGTGAGGTGAAACGTCCTTAGCATGAGCAAGGCAACCAAACACACGAAAATGTTGTACATTTGGTACCTTCCCATAAAAGGCTTGATAAGGTGTCATTCCTTCAACACTTTTGGTATGAGCACGGTTTAGGATGTACACTGAGGTTCTAACTGCCTCACCCCAAAACTTTCCAGGTACGTTTTTACTTTTCATGATACTCCTTGCCATTCCAAGTATTGTCTGATTTCTTCTCTCAACAATCCCATTCTGTTGAGGAGAATATGGGGCAGTCAAGTGTCTTCTGATTCCCTCATTTGCACAATAGTTTTGGAACTCAATAGAGGTGAACTCTCCCCCCCCCCATCAGTTCTAAAACATTTGATTTTGCTCTCTACTTCATTTTCAATCAAGCTTTTGAACCTCTTGAAGTGTACAAAAGCCTCACTTTTGCATTTCAAGAGAGTAATCCACATAAACCTGGAATAGTCATCCACAAGTAACATGAAATACTTATTACCTGCAGGCGAGGATGGGGAAATGGGCCCACATAAATCTCCATGCAGTAGCTCCAACTTCTGTTTTGCCCTAAATGATGCTTGATCTGGAAATGAAGCCCTATGTTGTTTACCCACAACACAACCATCACATACTTGGTTTATGTGATGTATTTGAGGCAGTCCCTTTGCCATCTTGAAATTTGACAATCTCTTTAATGCTTGAAAATTGATGTGTCCAAACCTGGCATGCCACAGCCAAGCAGTATCTTCCATGCTCATCAATAAACAAACACTCTGTGCAGTGTATAGTTTTGCAACAAACAACTTGTTATTTTGTCTCCTCTCCTTGATGATAGGTCTGTTTCCAACGTTATATACCTTCAAACACCCTTCTTCAATGGTATATCGGTTTCCATTCTCATCAAGTTGCCCTAAACTAATGATATTGCTCGTTAGTTTAGGTATATAGTACACATTTGATAAAACCAGATGCTCTCCATTCTTGCATTGAAAAAGCACGGATCCAAGTCCTTGTATATCAATAACAGAACCATCTCCAAATCTTACCTTCCCTTTGATGGAGTGGTCTATGTTATTGAAGCAATCCTTATTTCCCGTCATATGATTGCTTGCTCCAGTATCAAGGTACCATCCTGATTCTTTCTGTTTTTTTTCATGCAACATCTCTGCATTGATTGATGCTTGTGTCTTAGTTAATTCAAGTCTCAATCATGAGTAAAGCAGGTTCCTCTTCTTCGTCATCCTTAGTGAGGTTGGCTTGTTCTTCTTTTGCTTCTCCAGTACATTCAGAAGCAAAATGGCCCATCTTTCCACAATTAAAACATTTTATCTTGGATTTATCAAACTTTCTCTTTTGTGGTGGTTCCTCCTCTTTACTTTGGAAACTTCCACTCCTTCCTCTTCCACGTCCTCTGCCACGTCCTCCCCTATTACTCCTTTGATCTCTGATTGCTTCCTTGTTATATTTTTCTTCTTTTGCCTTCCATTCTGCCTGGGTAAGTAAGACAGTCTCATCTCCTTTTATTATGCTACTCTGAATCCTTTCTTCATGTGCCTTCAGAGAGCCTATAATTTCATCACTTGTTTTGGTCTTCAAGTCACCAAATTCCTCTATAGTTGATGCTATTTGAAGGAATTTTGGTGCAGTTGAACGTAATAACTTCTTGACCACAGTTTCCTCTTCCACAGTATTCCCAAGGCTCCTCAATTTTGTAACTATGATCTGCAACTTCCCAGTATAATCATCTATACTGTCTGCATCTGTCATCTTCATAGATTCAAACTCACGTAAAAGAGATTGAGTTCTTACTTCCTTGACTTTCCCAGCTCCTAAGTTCATGGTTTTCAGCATATTCCATGCCTCTTTAGCAGTTTTCTTTGCTCCTAGTTGAAGCAAAGTATCTTCAGTTATCCCTTGGTAGATTGTTGCTAGTGCCCTCTTGTCCTTTCGAGTCTCCACAACATCTTCGGCTACCACTGCATCCCATACACCCTGAGCCATCATAAACACCTCCATTTTTATTGCCCAAGCTGCATAGTTTGTCTTAGTGAGCATTGGATATTTAAGAGCAACAAAATCACTCTTATCTTCAGACTGCACATCTTCATAATCTGAATCTCGAGACATGTTGGATCGGAATTCAGTAGGCTCTGATACCAAATGTTGGCTAAACTTACACAAGATATAAACAAAGTGAACAATACTTATGCAAGTATACAGATCCTAGAGGATGTTGCTAAGTTATTAAATGACACCATGCTTTTTCAAGAAATTTTTCTTCATTCATGGGTGGGAAAAACCCGGTAACTTTGGGTACAAAAAACCCACCACAAATGCCCAGTACTTATACACAAACATAAGAAACGAAACTGCTATGGGAACTGCTATGTAACTGCTCCTATTTTTACGTATGCATGTACCAACATGGTATCATGTTTATGTTAAAACTTAACCAACCCCACACACACAACATTGACGGAAAATAGAACAAAACTAAATACACAAAAACAAATAAGACAAGTTTAACTTCCACACACTTCTCCTCCTTCCCCTTTAACCGCGCCTGTCTTCTTCTTCCAAGCCGGCCATGGCTTCTGCAGATCCCATTGCAACCATGGTTCATATGGTTACCATCAAACTCTCTTCCACTAATTTTCTTCTATGGATAAGTCAAGTATTTCCCATGCTCACTGCCTTTGATTTGCTTGGATATGTTGATGGTTCAGTATCTGTTCCTCCAAAGACCATCATCACTAATTCCGTTGAAAGCTCAAACCCAGCTTATGCATCATGACAGACCACGGATCAAAATTTTTTTGGAGTTCTCTTCTCCACCGTGACCGAAGAGTCTATGGCAGAGGTTGTCGGTTGCTCAACTTCTCGTGATGTCTAGCTCGCTCTCGAAGCATTGTTCTCTCCCTCCTCTACTGCCCGGGCTAATCAACTCCGGGATGAATTGCAATCCCTCCGCCGTGGCTCTCTCTCTGTCGAAGAATACGACCGTCAATTCAAAAATCTCTGCAATAAATGGTCTGAAATTGGCCGCCCGGTGGAAGAGTCGGACAAGTTTCACTGGTTCCTCCGCAGATTGGGCCCCCAGTTCGTTGGTTTTGCTGACAATCGGGTGTCCAGAGATCCGATTCCTCCTGTACGCGATCTTCTGCCTCAAGCTCAACAGTACGACCTCTTTCTTCGCACCACGGAGGGATTTGCTTCTGTTCCTGCTGTGTTCCACTGTTCCCATCATCACGGTGCCTCTTCTCGCGGCACCAACTCCTCTCGCCACCACTCTTTCTCCGGCCGTGGCAGTTCTGGTAACTCTCATGGCGGTTCTTCCTCCGGTAATCCCACTGGAGCACGCACTAATGTTACCCGCAGCAGTGGAACACGCAAACCTTTCGTTCCCAGATGTCAAATTTGTCGTGGGCCACACTTTGCTGATCTCGCCAATTTGTGTTAGAAAAAATGTGTTAAAAATTGCATTAATGGTCATTTTGGGTCAATTTTTTAAGTGGGGTCCACTTTCGATTTGGGTCGGCTCAAAGGGCTTTCGGATTTTCCTTGCTAAAGGCTACAATTCGATATATGGTACACTTAAAACGGATAATGGGTGAATGAGAAATTGATTCTCGAAGTTCACTCGTTGAAATGCCCACAGCAGGTGGCTGCTCTTCGAGCAGGCGGCTCAGCAGGTGGCTGCTCTCCGAGCAGGCGGCTCGCGCAGCAGGTGGCTGATCGACCCTGCTGCTGCCGTTACAAGCCAATAAATGCCCAACGTTCATGCAATTAAATGGACAGTTACGGACCATTCAATACCAACGTGTTGGACATTGATGTTCAACGGTAATGTCCATTAAAAACGTAATTAACACACAACAAATCTTCCCTATAAAAGGCTGGCAGGTGGTTTTCATCAACAACACGGAAAAAACACAATTCTTACACGAACTGCACACTTCTCTAGCTAAAAATCCTCCAGCTCTCCCTAAAAATTTCCTTGGTGTTCATACTTGTTCACGTTCGCCGGAACAATTTGTTTGAGTGCTCAAACTATTGTTCGTAGTCATCGTATCGTGGGAAACGATCGTTGCAACGCTCCTAGCACCCCGAGAGGCGACAAATACGTTTTAAGGACATCGTGCGTAGGACGAGCTTTGGCTAAATTCTGCTTCATCTATTTTCTGTTTTCCTTTAGTCATTTAATTAATTAATTTTCTTTGTTTTTTGAAACACACCCAACAAACTTAAAACATATTTCTCTAAAGCTTGTATCACACGGATACAATCTTAAAACCGTAGTTTGTCACTTTGGTGAACGATTTTTTTTTTGTGTTTTCGGAAAGCGTAAGAACGAAAAATGGCTTTGCAAGAAAACGAGAATAATGTTGGACAGAATGTGCCAGTGGACACACAATCTGAAAACGAAGCTCCGGTGAATAATAGTTCACAACGCTAGCATCTGTTTTCGGCAACCAAAGGGCTATCCCTATGGTTACCGTGCCGAGCAACTCTGTGGAGAAACCCGAGAAATTTAATGGGTTAAACTTCAAGAGGTGGCAGCAAAAGATGCTATTTTACCTCACTACTCTCGGTCTTGCTAGGTTCTTGACCGAAGACGCGCTGGTAGTAACCGGGGGTGAGGTGGATACACAATATTTCAACGCGGTTGAGGCTTGGAAGCATTCTGACTTTCTTTGCCGAAACTACGTGTTGAACAGGATGCATGATGCTTTGTACGATGTGTATAGCAAATTAGCTACGGCTAAGGAGCTATGTATTGCTTTGGACCACAAATATAAAAGCGAGGATGCCGGTGCAAAGAAATTTGTTTTCGGCCGATTCCTTGATTTTAAAATGGTGGATTCAAAAATGGTCTTGAGTCAAGTTGAGGAAATGCAAATGATCTTCACCGAAATTCGAGATGAAGGAATGATGGTTAGCTAGTCTTTCCAAGTGGCGTCAATTATACATTTGTTGCCACCGGCTTGGAAGGATTTCAAAAACTACCTTAAGCATAAGCGAAAGGAAATGAACTTGGAACAACTGATCCTCCGTCTGCAGATTGAAGAGGATAACCGGAAGAACGATGGGAAACTCCCAATCGTTAACGACGCCAAGGCAAATATGGTGGAGCATGCAACGAGCTCCAAAACCAAAAATAATGGGAAGAGAAAGCTTGGTCCCAAGGGAGGCATATCCAAGACGAAGTTCAACGAAAAATGCTTCAATTAAAATAAAAATAGACACAAGTCCTCGGATTGCAAGGCACCAAGGAAGAAGAAAGACTCTCAAGTCAACATGGTGCAAGGTGGGAAAAAGGATGAAGACATCATCCTTGCGGCCGTGGTGACCGAGGTCAACCGCGTTGGATCCAATTCCAAGGAGTGGTTCGTGGACACCGGTGCAACCCGGCATATTTGCTCAAACCGGGAGTTATTCACAACTTTTGAGCCATCAAATGGTGAGAAGGTGTGGGCAAGGTGGTCCTGAAGATGACTTCGGGCAAGGAGCTGACTCTAAACCAAGTTTTAATTTGGTTGTTCCGGAAATACGCAAAAATCTGATTTCCGGTTTGTTGTTGAACAAACATGGCTTTTGCATGGTTTTTGAGTCGGTAATGTATGTGGGCAAGGGGTATGCATGTGACGGGCTGTTTAAGATCAATGTAACGACTATTATTAATAATAATAATAGGAAAAAGGGGCAAATAAGCCCACGTACTAACCAAAAAAGGTCAAATAAGCCCTTATATAGGAGGCTATGTTCGGCCGTCATCATTTGGGGAGGTTCCCGATCGAAATTTTTTATTCAATTTTTTGAGCATGTTATTCATTAAGTCTAGTTTACTCAGACCAAATTTCAGATAAAACTTCAATCGGGAAGGCATTCAAATGAATTCTTGAAGATAACTGCGCTTTTAACTGCGCAGTTATCTTCAAGAATTTATTTGAATGCCTTCCAAATTGAGTTGTTAGATGAAATTTGGTATGCATTAACTAGACTGGATGAATAAGATTCTCAAAAAAATTCATCAAACAATTTCACCGGGAACTGCCCCAAATGGCGACGGAAGGACATAACCTCCTATATAAGGGCTTATTTGACCTTTTGCGGTTAGTACGTGGGCTTATTTGCCCCTTTTTCCATAATAATAAAATCTCTTCTGCTTACTTGCTGGAGTCTTCCAATGTGTGACATGGTAGACTAGGACATGCTAATTTTAATTGTATACGTAGATTAATTAATATGGAACACATTCCTAAATTCACAATTGATGTGAAGCACAAATGTGAAGTTTGTGTAGAAGCAAAACTAACGAAAACGTCTTTCAAATCGGTTGAAAGAAAAACGGAACCACTTGAATTAATTCATAGTGAAGTTTGTGATTTTAAATCAATACAAACACGTGGCGGTAATAAATATTTTATTACTTTTATTGATGATAGCACTCACTATAGCTATGTTTATATGTTAAAAAATAAACATGAAGCAATCGATAAATTCATTCTTTATAAGAATGAAGTGGAATACCAACTTAATTGACGGATTAAACCGGTTAGAAGTGATCGAGGTGGTGAGTATGAAGCACCAATTGGTAACTTTTGCGCGAGCGTGGGTATAGTACATGAACATACTGCACCCTATTCACCTCAATCAAATGGTGTTGCCGAACGAAAGAATCGCACATTGAAAGATATGATGAATGCGATGCTTGTAAGTTCGGGTCTGCCACAAAATATGTGGGGCGAAGCAGTCTTGTCAAGCAATTTAAATAAGGTTCCCCGGAAAAAATATGATAAAACTCCATACGAGTTGTGGAAAGGTAGAAGGCCTTCTTATCAATATTTAAAAGTGTGGGGGTGTCTGGCAAAAGTGCTTGTACCAACACCTAAGAAAATAAAAATAGGTCAAAAAACGGTGGATTGTATTTTTATTGGATATGCACAAAATAGTAGTGATTATCGATTTTTAGTGTACGATTCGAATAATCCGGATGTACATAAAAACACAATAATTGAATCAAGGAATGCATTATTCTTTGAAGACGTATTTCCATGCAAGTCCAACGAAGGACCAAGCACGTCAAAATGAACATTTGTCGTAACTATGGAAAATACTAGCGAGTGGTCCGGAGAAGAAGTCGAACCCAGACGTAGCAAACGTGCTAGAGTTGAAAAATCTTTCGGACCGGATTTTCTCACCTACTTGGTAGAATTTGACTCGGATATTCTATCATGTATGGTAGAAAATGAACCGGATTTTCTAACATGTTTGGTAGAAAATGAGCCACAGACTTATACGGAAGCCGTGACGTCTACCGAAGGTCCTATGTCGAAAGAAGCCATAAAAAATGAGGTGGATTCTATCCTACAAAATCACACATGGGAATTGGTTGATCTTCCTATGGGAAATAAACCTTTGGGATCCAAGTGGATTTTTAAACGAAAAATGAAACCTGATGGTTCCATTGATAAGTACAAGGCCAAACTTGTAATCAAGGGATACAAGCAACGTGAGGGCCATGATTACTTTGACACGTATTCTCCTGTGACGAGAATAAATCCCATTAGGATGATACTAGCAATTGCCGCATTGCGGAAATTGGAAGTTCATCAAATGGACGTAAAAACCGCTTTTCTAAATGACGATATAGATGAAGAAATCTATATGGAACAGCCCGAGGGCTTTCGCGTTCCTGGCCAAGAAAGGAAAGTGTGTAAATTAATTAAATCATTGTATGGATTTAAATAAGCCCCTAAACAGTGGCACGAAAAGTTCGATCATGCAATGTTAAAATAAATGAAAGTGACAAATGCGTCTATGTGAAAAGCACAGTAGACGGCTATGCCATTTTCTGTTTATACGTGGATGATATACCCATCGTGGGTAGCAATAATCTAATGATTAATTCTACCAAAAGCATGTTAAATTCTAAATTTGACATGAAGGATATGGGGTTGGCCGATTTAATCTTTGGGATTAAAATAATTTGGGGAGCTGACGGTCTAACGCTAAGCCAATCCCATTACGTTGATAAAATCCTTATGAAATTTAATAAGGATGATTATCAAGAGGCAAGGACTCCATTAGATAAAAACGTACACCTTACCAAAAATCGTGGAGAGTGTATTTCTCAAGTAGAATACACTAGGATTATCGGATGCTTGATGTATCTAATGAGTTGTACCAGACCTGATATTGCCTTTGTGGTTAGCAAGCTAAGTAGATATACTAGTAACCCCGATGATGAACACTGGAAGGCAATAGTAAGAGTTTTGAGGTATTTAGGAAAAACCCAAAACCTTGGACTGCACTATGGAAGATATCCAGTTGTACTTGAAGGGTATAGCGACGCTAGTTGGATATCCGACATTAAGGACTCAAAGTCCACAAGTGGATATGTTTTCACTCTGGGAGGTGCAGT